CCACCTATAATATTCACTAAAGAACATGTCACGCAAACACTCTTACAAAATTGTTATGTATTATGCTAACCTAATATATTCAAATACTGCTAAATTAATTAAAATATGGAAAGACCGAACAATAACAAGGAATACTAAGCTTAGGTTGGTCAATGCCCTTATTTTTCCCATTGCTACATATGCAGCTGAAACATGGACTCTCAAAAAAATCGATAGGAGTAAGATCGAAGCCTTCGAAATGTGGGTATATAGAAGAATTCTACGCGTTTCCTGGACAGAACATAGAACCAACCTGTCAATTCTGGAAGAGCTTCATATAAAAAACAGGCTACTAAAAAAAGTAAACCAAGCATACCTAACTTACTTCGGCCACATAGCTAGAAGAACGGGCACCATGGAACTATTGGTAGTAGAAGGTAAGATAGAAGGCCGAAGACCAAGAGGAAGATCTCCAATACGATGGGTGGACCAAATGAAGAGTTTGGTGGGAAAATCCCTACATGAAGCCGTCCATATGGCACAAGATCGCAGTCAATGGAGACAGCAGACTAATAATATTTAGGGTGTCACTACACCCTGACAAGGGCTAAAGGATTGAGGAGGAGGAATATATTCAAAAATGTTATGGCTCAGTCTAAAAACTGCAGAAATTTATGAACCTGGTATCAGAAACGAATTTCTGTTGAACACACCCATAAAAAAAGTCGAATTTATTGGTTCCGAAATGAAAGATTTTGGTTTAATATGATAACTAAGGAATTGTTCTGCATTGACTTTCTGGATTAACTCTTAACTGGTGACTATGCGTCTCACAGACTCCGCACGTTTATTAATGCGTGTGAGTTTCTCGCCACAAATACGTAGCGACCTGTAATTTGGTGTACTTTCCTAGCTTTTAGAGTGTATTCGAACGTGTTAATGAGTGGTACCTCGTGCGTCCCGTTTTCGAAATATTTACGTCGCGGAGTCTACTAGACGCAAGGTCACCATTAGTGTTATTTTAATATGGATAATTCTCGTAAAGCTATAAGACTATTAGACGATGATTTCGAAGAAGTGTGTACAAAATGGTATAATGACGCGAACAGTGACATTAGTGATGATGATGTGGAAGAAGGATATTATATAGAAAGTGATCATTTTCAAGAAACGTCCGTACTCCTGCTCACAATATTGTTGTACTCCCATCAATCCGTTCTAAAGTAGAAAAGTCAACGACTGCCGTTTATTATTTTAATAAATTGTTTTCACCAGATATGTATAGTCTTGTTGTCAAGAGAACTAACGAGAAACTCACAACTTTTCGGCCAAAATATCAACAATAAAAAAAGACAAATGCGAATTGGCTGATACTGATGAAATAGAATTGAGATCTTTCTTGGAACTGCTTCGTCATACTTCTATTTATAAGTCAAATCATGAGGATGTACGCAGTCTGTTTACTACGAAACGGAAAGGACGGTCTATATTTAGAGCAGTTATGTCGCAGAAATGTTTCCTGATCCTGATGGCCGCCCTAAGGTTTGACGATGCCTCGGACTGAAAACAAAGAGCAAGGGATAATTCAGCTGCTGGTATCCAAGAATTCTTTGACTTATTTGTAATAAATTCAAAGGATTATACGGTTGGGAAAAATGTGTGTAGACGAAATGCTGGTAGGCTTCAGAGGCAGATGTCGCTTTAAAATGTATATTCCCAGCAAACCCTGTAAATATGGGAAAAAATCTTATGTATGACTGATGCACGAACTGGATATTGACATAATGCTTAAATTTATGCTGGGAAAGGTTCAGATGGATTTTTCCTCACAAATGAAGAAAGAAGAAAGAGCATACCTACACAAGCAGTTATAAGATGAGTCAAACATCTTTACAATACTAATAGAAATGTAACTGGCGACAACTGATTTAGTTCAGTTGATTTAGTACATCATCTACTACAACATGTTAGCACAATGCGAAGAAATAAAAAAGAAATTCCTCCACAGTTCCTTCCGCGACCAAATCCTTAATGACGGCGACACTTTGTATGGATTTACCAAAGACCTAACACTTTGTCCCGTACAACTAAGAAAAATAAAACTGTGATATTAATTTCTTCCGTGCATCATTCCATAGAAGTAGATGCAGATAATGGACTACCCGAAATAAATTCTTTTTACAACTTGACCAAAGGGGGTGTAGACGCGATGGATGAAAAGTGTGTAAAATATCCCTGTAGCCGCAGAACACGTAGATGACCCGTGGCTATTTTTTATACAATAGTAGACGTATGTGGAGTCTTCTTCTTCTACTTTTTGTAGATCTTTCGATCTGTTTAATTCTGAAGCTGCCTCTGGTTAATTTCTTGGGAGGTAGATTGCCAACTATCCCTCCATCTTTTAGGTGGTCTTCCGGGGGGTCTTGAACCGGGCGGATTGTTTTCTAGGGCAATTTTTGGGAGTCTATTCTCATCCATTCGTCTTACATGGTTGTACCACATCCTCTTGCGCTGCCTTCCCCATCTTACAATATCTTGAATTTTGCACTGCTCTCTAATGTTTGTATTTCTCACTCTGTCTCTTCTTGTTTTCCCCATTATTGTTCTTAGGGTTTTCATTTCGGCAACCCTTAGCATCTGTTTCGTTTTGTTGGTATCTTCGCGCACTTCTATGCCATATGTCATGATCGGTCGTATGCAAGTCTTATAGATTCTAATTTTACTATCTGTGCGCATATACGGATTTGACCAGACTATCTTCCGCAGACATCCTGACAGTGCAGATGCTTTGTTGATTTGACTCCTCAGGTCCTTTACTGGGTCGTGGGTGCTTGATATATCTATGCCCAGATATCTGAATTGCATCACCTGTTCTATGGGGTTGTCCTCAACCACTAACTTACATCTGAGCGGATCTTTTGCTATTGTCATACATTTAGTTTTGTTGGTAGATATGTTCATATTTAGTAGCCGGCTTGTTTGAAAGAACTGAAAGAGCTGCCTTTGGAGATCATCTTCTGATTCGGCAATAATTGCTGCATCGTCTGCGTAACACACCATACCAATTCTTTTGTTGCCCATTCTATATCCGAGATTAAGAGATGTTACTTTGTTGATAATTTTGCCCATGAGAAGATTAAACAAGAAGGGGCTTAAACTGTCGCCTTGTCTAATTCCTCCCGGTGTTGGAATATTTTCAGTGAATTCGTCTCCTGCTCTAACTTTGGTTACGTTGTTGTTATTTAGGTTATGGAGTATCTTTGTTATACTGGTCGGTGTTTCATTTTCTATTAATATATTTAGAATGTCTCCCAGGCGAACTCTGTCAAATGCCTTCGTCAAATCAATGAAGCAAATATACGCTGGCATGCCGAACTCTATAGCTTTTTCTTTTATTTGTTTTATTATAAATACTGCGTCTGTTATAGACCGCCCTTTTGTAAAACCTTGTTGTTCTTCAGCATTAGTGATTTGCTTTTCCAATTTGTCCTTAAGAATACCGGTGAAAAGTTTCATTGTTGTATTTAAGAGGGTTATTCCTCTATAGTTTTGTGGGCAGGTTTTTTGTCCCTTTTTAAATATGGGGATTGTGATACTATTATGCCATTCCTCTGGTGTTTCTGTTTTGTTTAATATTTTGTTAAATAGTTGTGCCAGTTTACTTGCAAGTTCCGGGCCTCCATATTTTAAAAGTTCATTGGGTATACCATCCGTTCCCGGTGATTTTCTGTTTTTTAGCTTTTTGATCTTTGCTTCTACTTCTTCGTCATTGATTGTAGCACTCACATCTGTTTCGCCTTCGTTTATATTCAGCGTTTCTTCAGCATCATATAGCTCTTTAAAATGCTGTTGCCATGTCTCTATAGGTACTCCTTTGGTCTGCACGAACTCGTTAACTGGTTTTTTCCTGTTGCGGAGCATTTTCCATACTTTCTTTTGGGCACCATATAGGTCGTAGTCCATGTCGTAAGTGAATTTGGCCCAATGTTCTCTTTTGATTGATTTTATTCTGGCGTTTACTTCGTTTCTTATTTGAACATATTCTGCATGAGCTTCTTCCGATTGCGTGCTTTTATATCTCAGGTAGCATTTGCGTTTTAATTCAGAGAGTTCTTTTACCTCTTGGCAAAACCACGGTTTGGTGTGGTTTGTCGCTCTCGTGTTAATTTTCCGCTTTCCAATCGCTTCTTCTGCTGCTTCGTTGATGCATTTCTTAATTTTTTGCCAAGTATCTTCTACTCCCCATTCGGGTTTTAAGTCGATCTCTTTTAGTTTGCTGGTAATCCTGTTCTCATAGAGCAGTTTTGTACTCTCTGTTGCTAGCGACTCTATATTATGTTTTTCGATGAACATTGGGGGTTTTCTGTTTCGTTGCGGACGTTCTAGTAGCATCTTACATAAAACAAGGTTATGATCAGTCCCCAGGTTAGCAGATGTTAGTGCTCTGACATCAAGTACTTGTGACGGAGTTATCGCTCGATTTGTGATTATAAAATCTATCATTGATCGCTGGCCTCGATTATTGTTAAAAGTGTATTTATGTTGGTCTTTATGAGGAAAGTATGTATTGTTGATTCTCATTTCATTTCTAGCGCAAAAGTCTATTAATGCTTCGCCGTTTTCATTAATTATTTCTTCGTTGTACTTTTGTTTTATACCTGGTATGATACCGTTTCCGATCCGTGCATTAAGATCCCCGAGTACGATAATTTTGTGTTTCGTATTTATGTTATCTATGTATGTGGAGTAAATTCATAAATTATGTTTACTTCGATTCCCGAAAATAATTGGACTACATTCAAATGTATAGAAACTTACAGATGAACACGTTTCCTCACATTTGCATAGAAGATATTAAATGCCAATTTTCTTTTTTTCTTCACAGACTGGTTGGGTATCGACACCAAGCGGTTTATGTCACAAAATGTGACCTCCCAGTGACTCAAATGATACGCCACTGTTTAAATAACAAAAACAAATACCTATATAAAGACATAAAGTTGTTTTTATTTAAACGTCATTTTTTCCACTCGCGCAATCTGTTTTTGTATCATCATGTTGAGGTTAGGGGTCCATTTCAAATTGAATATTTTAATTCTCATGTTACTGTTGTCGGTTTTATCAAAATTGGTGACAAAGGTAGGTGCTGCAGAAGTAGTTACTGCTAGAAATTTAAATAAAATAATGTGTGATGCCGGTGAACAGAGTATAAGCCAAAGGGCATCAAGATTAGCACCTCCTCTTACTCATGATTTACACAAGGGCCAAGCTGGCCGAATTGGCGTTTTTGGAGGAAGTCTTGAATATACTGGTAAGTAATCGTTTTGTTTTTTATCCAATATATTATTCTTTCTTAGCAGTTATCATCTTTGAGATATATACATTGTATACTTTTTTAAATTCTTATGTAGCAAGTTTAGAATAATAACATTGTTTAAAATTAAGTATATTTTTAAGTACAATCATACATAATGAAGGATGTAAATAAAACAACAAATAATACAAGGCCAAAGTTACAATTTAAGTATTTATAAACTAGTTTTTGAAATTAATGAGTATTTCTAAGTCATAATGGGATGATGGTGATTTCAATGCCATACACACTTCTTAAAATTATGTCAAGAGCAAAATTTATGGAATTTAAGTAGCACGATTTTTTGACTTCAGATTACAATCATTGATACCAAATCGCTGCCTGAGTATTACAAGGGTGTATGTAACAAGATTAAAAAATCAGCAATTTTACGATAACAAGGTTCTATGTGTCATAAGGCACCCATAGAACTTTTTAAATCTAAAATATATGCATGGAATCCTCTAAAATTAATTGAAAATCATTGGTGTATGTTATGAAAATATGAAAAGAGTACAACATAGTCCTATGTCAAACATACAACTTTGTTTTTCGCAAAATTTTAGTGAACTTTCCAAACTCTCAGAATAACATGGTCCTATGTAGTATATAGAAATATATTTTCTGATTGCTATAAGCTCAGTAGCAGTGAAAAAAAAGATGTTTATTTTAAGTACAACTGAAATGAGTATTCCACAGTGAAGAAGAAAAGGAAAAAATGCCCAAAACTCAACAAAAAAAACTAAAAACTTTAAATTCTTCTTTATTTTAAGTAATAACAAAATACAGATTTGTAAACAGTTTTACTGCGGAACACTAGGTATAAGTCAAAAATCAATATACACTGTTTACAAAAATCCTACAGAAACAAACACAATTTGTCAAAGTGTTCAGGGAATCCTAGAAAAAAAGTTACATCAGGTTAAACTGCCAATCTTGTTACAGAGCATATTAATATGTTCCATGTAATAGAAAGCCATTAAGTATTGTAGGACTGATACTAAAAGAAAATATGTAGAGGGTGACTTATCACTGCAAAGAATATACAATATGTACAAGGATTTCATAAAGGAGAAAGACTTGGCTCCCGTAAAACTTAATGTTTATGGCACCTTGGCATAAAACAAGGTGGAAGCTCTGAAATCTATGTACAAGTGGATGCCAGATGTAAACAAAAACTTTTATAATTGAAATGAGGTTGAATGCTTGAATAAATGAACTTTGAAAAATAAGGCTATTATCGAGCACAAGTTAATTAAATCTAGCCCAAGTACTTTTGCTTAAAATAGCATCTTCAGGGACATTTCGTCAAAATATAAACTATCCGGCAAGCGTAGAATGTGGAAACATTAATAATAACATAAAATTGTACAAAACACTACACTAAAACGAGGACAAACGGTTTATAAAGATTCTACTCTACATTCTTTGTCAGTATCTGGCGGGATAATGAAATGAATAAGGAACAAACTTTTATGTTCACATGTTTTTCAACATGTCTCAACATAAACAGTAAAACTGAGATTGCTGATCCGAAGATAATGTTACAAAGGCTTATGCTTCATGTTCTTGCATTTTTCGTTTTTTTATTAGAGTCACGAAGTTCTATGTTATTTTATTTTTTCAATAAAAATATGGAAAAAATTTAATATTTTTTATTCCTTTTTTTTTAAATGTGCTTTTGTAGTAGACTTTCATCTATTATGTTTAAAACAAAAGCAAATATACTTTCTTGTATACCAAATCTAATGGTCAAAATATTCAAAGTCATTTTTCTCAGTTTCTACATTTTGTATCATACTTACAACCTTGTAATTCTTAGGCAGCAAAATGTAATCTGCTTCATACTGCTCATTGCTTGCACAGATTGATTGTGGCCACAAAAAATTAACAATACTTTTATTACTTTAAAAACACAGCTAATTTTAAGACAAAAAAATATTAGTGAGTTAGGTGAAGCAAGGAATCATGGTCAGCACTGTGTACACAATGAAAAAAGGTTAAATACAATAACAACACTTCGACCTAAACTGTTGAATTCAGGGATTTTATAACCACATTATACTATTTTCCAATACTTGTTGAGCAAGTTTTATATGATTAAATTTTCTTCCAATGATAAAGGCAGCTCAAATTGTGTCAGTTGGAAAAGAAACCCTCAAACTACTTAAAGGAAAAAATACCTTGGATAACAGTAGAAATTCTTGAACTTGAAGAAAACATAAAAAAGACCTGAATAAATACAAAGAAATTCAGAAAAACACCAGAAAGAAAATTCGAGAGGCAAAAGAGAGGTGGCTCTCCAATAGATGGAAGGAAGTAGAAGATCTGGATAAAAAGTATGGTAGCTTTAATTTACACAAAAAAATTTCAAAGAAATGACAGGTTGTAGAAATAGCACAAGAATGAGTATCCTTAAAAATAGCAAAGGAGATGGAGATATTATTACTAATATGAAGGAAAGATTGTGCCACTGGAGCAATTACATCCAAAAGCTATTTAATGATGAAAGTTAAGAACTATCATAGGAAACCACAGAGGATATCAAACCACCAATATTGTGGGAAGAAGTCATCTGTGTCATCAAAAACACAAAAGAGGGCAAAGCTACTGGACCAGATGATGTGCCCATCGAATTATTAAAACTCATGAAGATGAAGATGTTATTGATGTAATGGTTGAACTCTTTAATCTAATATATCAGACTGCCACAATCCCCAGACAGTGGCTGCAATCGACCTTTGTGGCAATACCCAAAAAATCAAGTGCAATATCCTTCACAAATCACAGAACAATAGCTTTAATGAGTTTACACTTTTTCACACTCACAACATTATTGAAAACAATACACCACAGAATTGTTACAACTCTTAAATATGAAATTAGTGACACACAATTTGGTTTTAGAAATGGTATGGGCACAAGAGATGCTATGTTCAGGACATGTACTTATGTTTTGTAGATTTTGAAAAGGCATTTGATAAGGATCAACATAAAAAGCTTGCAGAAATATTAAAAAGCAAGAAAATTGAGAGTCATAATATAAAAATTATATCTAATCCATATTGGAATCAAACTACCAAGGTAAGAGTTGACAACTAGAACACCCAGAGATATGAAAATACAGAGGGGAGTCCTCCAGGGTTGCGTGCTGTCACTACTAATCTTCAATATCTACAGTTAAGCAGTATTTTAAGAAGTGCTCTCAGATTCAATAGAAGGTATATTTATCAATGGAGAGGTTTTTAATAACTTGCGTTTTGCAGATGATACAGTAATAATAACATATAACAACAATGATTTACAGAACGTAATGCAGTGACTTAATTAATACTTTCATGAATACAGACTAAGGATGAATTTTAAAAATAAAAATAAATGCCTGATCATGACTAAATCATGCCTGTAATTGAGAGTGTGGATACCTACCAATATTTAGGAACATGGATAACATCAAATGTAGTCAAAACCAAAGAAATTAAGACACATAGTGAAATAGCACATGCATTATTCATTTAACTTAAAAAGCCACACCGGAGGGACCGCAGACGATCGGATACAATTAGCGTCTCTTAGCAAAGACAATGACGTCGACTTTGCTAAGTATCAAGACAATTACTCTACACACACAAACACACACACACACTATTGTTGTTGTTTGTTTGTGTTTAAATGACTGCGGACACTAAATCCATTCGCCAATCTTACAATTTGAGGTGTAGTGTGTGTGTGAACACACACACTACATTAATAAACTTATCTTGATTGAGACTGGCTGAATGACAATTGTCCAAGCCAAAACACATACAAAAAAAAAAAAAACTTAAAAAGCTTCTTTGTTGTCAGGATATAATACATGTCTTCCATGAAATTCGCAAAAGAAATGAGAAATGACCAGAGACAGAGATCTTTGAACAGACAATACATCAGAACAGACAATACAAAAGCTCTTTGCTGCTTCAACATCACCTGCTACCTTAATTCAATCTCTGGTTCTCTTCACTCTTCGTCTGTAGTTTTTTCTTTTGTATGTTTATTTCCAGTCCAATATCTTTGGTAACTAATTCCAGAACTGAATGTTTTTCACTGCCATTTACACAGGCAACAAGTTGTACTGATTTGTTTATTGAAGATTGGCTCTTCTGACATCCACCTCTCTTATAACATACTCTCAACATTTATTTAAAATTTGTTTTTCTTTTTTTTATGTAGAATTAAAAGATGATTGATCTATTGTCAACATTCCTTGATGAAAACTGTTTAGATTGTCTAACCTGTTTGTTTTCAGATTAGCATTTGTTACTCTTTATTAGGAATTTCATAAATAAACAATTATTGTCAACACCCATATAATGTAGTTCAAGATCATACTAAGGTGACTTTGATCACCTCCATTATATGCATAATAAAATTAAATTAAAATATTCATAAGAAATTATATAGGTATATATCATGGTTGTTCCATAAATATTAAAGGGATAAAATATTGTTAATGATTATAAAATTAATGTTGCACTTGGGGGAGTGCCAACAGAAGTAACAACTTTTTTAGAGGGGCCTATATTTAATTTTTTAAGACTAAGTAGTATATGATGCAAAATTATTTGCTTATTTCAAATTTAACATTTATTCCAGGTGCACCGTATTTTTCTTCGATCAGTGCTTTAAAAATTGGAGCTGATTTGGCTTATGTCTTTAGCAAAAAAGAAGCGGCACCAGTCATAAAATCTTATAGCCCAGAGTTGATTGTTTTACCTTTACTTGATGGTAATATAGAAGCTATTGAAGAATGGCTGCCCAGGTTACATGTGGTACTGATTGGTCCTGGCATGGGTAGAATGAATAGTACTTTTAATTTAATAGAACAAGTCATTCAAGAATGTAGAAATAAGAAGAAGCCGCTGGTAAGGTATATTTTCTTAATTTTGATTACTCCAACTCACAATAATTTTGTTTATCAAATAATAAATTTAAGATTTCTTGTTTGTGTTTGCGTTTCCTCTGGAGAGATATTTTGTGATATTGTCAAATTATTTCAAATTTTATGCCCAAAAATTTCTCAGAATGACTGTTTTTTAGAATGCTTTGTTGTAAAATTTTAAGTATAAAGCTACATTTTAAAATAGTCGTCAGCCAACATCTATATTTGTTTTCCCACAAAGACATCATTTTGTTTAATGCTCTGTTGAAGGTAACGCTTGATATAGGTATCGCCAATTCGGATGATCCAAATTTGCATATTATTGCACCAGCAGCTCAGAAATCGAAATTTGAAGTTACTTCATATCGATAGTGCAAGTGTTCTACTCTGTTATATTCTTACCACATGTCTTTGTTTTCAATGTGGCAATAACATGTGTTAAACGCAAGAGAAATGCTTAAACGATTGAATAAAAACTAGAGATTTTAAACAGAACTGAAAATGGTGAAAGTATCGCTATATCAATTGCATATCTCAGTCTGACTCTAAAACGTATTTGCAAGGAAATTATTAAAAGGATTGACTTTCAACAACTCGATGAAGCAGTTTTCAAGTGGTTTCTGCAAAAAAATTGGATAGCCCTAATCTGTGGGCCAATATGTGCTAAGCAAGCGGGAATTTTCTCTACTTGCTTAGCACACATTGCACACATAGCACACAAAAAACGTCACTGGATTCACTATACCTACATAGCTCAGTACTATGAAGTGGAGACATAATTACAAAAAAAATCTATAATTTTTTCAAATTTATAACGTTGATAAAACAGGGTTAAACAGGCGAGCAATAGCTACAAAAACCTTAGCTGCAAGTAATGAGGTGAGTGCACCGTTCATAAAAAAATTAAAGTCCATTTAAGTGCTGTGCCAATGTGTCTGATAACCATAGACTGATGCTGACAGTGATTGGAAAGTCAAAAATTCCCGCGCTTTTAAAAACATGAAACCACAGAATCAGTTCACTATTATAACCAGCAAGCTGCCTGGATAATATGTGACATCTTTCAAGATTGGTTCCATAAAAAAAGTTAATTCCTGAAGTAAAGTCTTATTTGAAGAAGGAAAAGTTTCCACAAATGGCGCTTCTTCTGGATAATGCTGGTGTTTATCCTAATGAGGCAGCCCAAGATCTGACGACGCATCTTTATTTGATCTTTTTTTCAGCGAATCTTACGCCAGAGTGTCATTGCGACAATGAAACGCCTATACCTAAGATAATTTATTATGAATTTGTTGGATTAAGTTGATCTGAGGAAGATGATAGAAATAGTTCACCATCAAAGATGCAATTTTCACAGTGGCAAATGCATTGAGCAGAGTAAAATAGATCTTCAAAAAAAGCTTTTTACAAAATAATGACGTTAGAGGACTATGAAAGCATCATGGAATGTGATTATAAAGAAACTACCATTGCTGATCTAACTGCATTATAACGCCGATAAATTTGAAGACATTGTTGAAGCAGACGCGACGTTCAGACGTGGAAACAGTGTGACAGACTCCAAGATATCAGCTCTGCAGCAACGACGATATTGTCGAACTAGCCTTGAATCAGCTAGGTACTTCACACACTGATTCAACCGAAGAACAACGAAAATAATGGGACGGAATCAATCAAAAGAGTAACTAACTTCAAGCTACTAACGATGTAAACAAATGCATGCTGGAAGCACGGGTTTGTTCAGGGCCGTACTAGTTAATTAAAAATACAATATAAAACAGACAAACTTTGACAGATACAGATTATAGTGCACTAATTTTTTAAATATAAAAATGATTTACAAGATCAACAGCTATTCACCACAAAATAAAGTATGTATGCAGAAAAAAGAGAGTTTATAAAATTACCGTATTTGCCTTATTAGCTTTCAGAATCTGATGTACTGCTGTCATTAATGTTAATAATGATAGGCTCAATTTGGGCTTCAGTTAAATTGTCCAACTCCCACATTATTGGCTCTACTTTTTCTTTTTCATGTCTGATGCAGTTTTTTCATGGTTACAGCAGATTTAGCTTCATGGAATAAATTTTTAATGTCAGCAAATTTAAATATTCTGTTATTGGCAGGATCATAATTTTTGACTTACGCCCGTACACGCTCTATTGGAGTGAGCTCGTAGTGGTACGGTGGCAACCTTAACACCATCTTTTCATAAAAGTGATATTAGAGATAATAATAAAAAAAATCAAAGTTTATTTTAATTTTAATTAACTGAGCGATTTTTTAAGCCTGTCGACAGCCCATCCAAAAAATGCAAGTCTTACAGAAGTCACACAAGCATCCACCAAAACTTAACTTATCCATGTTTCGTAAAAGTAATAAATTGTTCTATTTTCAGCTCTATATTGTCTTATCTTTTGCAGATAATCCCTTCGCCATAATACAATTTCATTTCTGTCGAGTAGCAAACTGTTTCTTCTACGTTTTTGAAATTTAAAATTTAATTTTCGTAAGAGTTTGTAACACGTGGTTCTCATAAAAATATCACGCAGTGACTTGTGTTTATTCTGTCTGGTAGCTTGAACTTGAATTTACTCGACTATTTTGGATAACAGAAGCCTTCGGACCTTGTCGAAATTTTGATGTTGCGCAGAATAAGCCAAAAGATTTAAAAAAAAAATTGAAGATTTCTAGAACAGGTCAGAGTGACTGATTTTTTTCAAAAGCATAGCTACCTAAAATGTATAACCGTTTTATGTGAATGTTAGAAAAGTTATTTGAACTTTGATGATATTTATTTTTTTTTATTTTCTTTTTATGATAGGTGCGTATGTATGCATGTATGTATATGTATATATGTACATATTTAAGAAGTAAATGTTCGGATTCTCCGTGCTTTTTAATAATAATTGTCAATGCCACGTCCGGTCCCGTGTCACACGAATAATCGGTGTTGTACTGTAAATACAAATAAACAATTATTTTTAAGTACATATTACATTTTTTAGGTAATAGACGCCGATGGATTATTTTTGATATCCCTAAAACCCGAATTACTAAAAGATTACCCTGCTCCTCTAGTTTTAACTCCAAACGAAATGGAGTTTTGTAAACTTACAGCGCAATCATGTGAAACAAATGCAGATAAGTTAGAACGATCCAAGAATATCCTGAAACTATTTGGGCCAAACGCTCTAATTTTATGCAAGGGACACGATGACGAAATCCTTACGAATGGAAAAGTTACTAAAGTTGTCGGAGGTGGTTCAGCAAGACGATGTGGAGGTCAAGGAGATCTTTTGGGTAAGTTTATAGATATTATACTATTTACATTTATCTATGGTATTGTATTAAATATTTTTAAGGGGACAGTCTCATGCGAAACTTTCAAAAAATCAATTTTTTTTTTATAAATCGCTTCCATATACATTCAAAAACTCCCTCCTAAAATTTTAAAACACTAGAATATAAGTTATAGTTATTTTATTAACGTTATCTACGCACGTATGAAAACCGGTTTCTCTCCGCGCGGCGAGCGCGAGGCTCCAGCTGTTCTTGCTTTTGTATATATGTTGTATATACGTTGGGTATGTATTAGTGATTAATTTTTATATAGTATGTATATCTGTATAACGTTTGGCGTTTACTATACACATTTGGATTTGGAATTTTAAATCCGGAACAGAGGATTTTTTTACAAATACTAAGATTCTCTGCGTTGCAATTAACCAGTGTAAATTTATTTGTTCCACTGGATTACTTCTCCTTAGCAGTTTATAGTAGCGTATATGGCACGACGATAGTAGCGTATATGGCACGCCGACAGTGTTGCTCCGTCTACCGATTTTTCCTGAAAGTCCGGTTTTGTGCAGATAATAAATAATGTTTTATTAACATCAATTTTGTTTGTGTTCATTCGGTATTATTTGAGTTATAAAATTTATACTTAAATACATTTATTATTCCAAATATTGTTTATAATTTCAAATTAAAAAGAGTGTAATATAATTATTTTATTTTTAAAATTCCTTTTTATTTTTTATTTTAGAAATCAACTTTTTTTTCAAGCCGTTTTGGCAATAAAACATAACCATTTTTTTATTTATAAAATATTTTCATATCTACATTTATAAATAAGTACGTTTTCGTTAAATTGACATGCGATCTAGGTGTGTTCCGTTTTTACACTTATACTGGCAGCATCGCGGCGTGAATTGAGACTCCAGTCGAACATGAACAAATGAATTAATTATAAAACGTCGCGACGTTTTATTGAAATTTACAGCTTTACAAACCCATTTACAACAACTGTTGGATGAAGAGGGTCCTCAATATTCACCAGGAATGGCCGATTAAACGTGAGTATAAAGTTATCAGCCTTTTATTCACGAAAATTATGTAAAAAAAACTTTAAATGCTTTTTTCTCAAAAGTAAATTTTCAAACTGGTCAGACACTTTTCTCCGAACCTTCTTAACCGATTTTAAAAAACCAAAAATTTTTCGAATGTACATACAAAATACTAGATAATAAACCTTTAAAATGTTTAAAAACCACCCCCCTTTTATTATATATGGGTAAATCCACCGAAAAATATAGCGATTTTTCGACTTTTTTGAAAAAATTCGTATAAACTCTTCAAAATAATATAATTTGCATATTTTAAAGGTTTATCATCTAGTTTTGAGTCTCATGAATACAACCCATTTTGAATTTTTTGAATATCTGTTACAGGTGACCGACAAAGTGTCTTACCACCAAAAACGCACTTTTTACTACACGCCATCTACAGGACACCAATGAAGTTAAAATCGCTATTAAAATTTTTTTTATGTACTTCAAGACTTACTTAATCATCTCCAAAAGGAATTATGTTAATAAATATTATAGTTTTTTTTTCTGTTTTAATTTTAAAATGTGTCTTTTTTTTGAATCACATGAGACTGTCCCCTTAAAGAAATTTTGTGCCAACCAAAATTTAAAATTATTTGGTTACAGTTGAATTGATGGAAGTCATTATGAATGTTTTATGTATTTATGTATGAATGTATTTAATAATATAAATTCTTCCAAATATAAATAAGGAAATTAATAATAACCTGACATTCTCAAAATATCAACGTCAAAATGAGATGTAATGGATTTTTAAGGAAATAATGTACAACTTCTTTTAAGTCTACACATTCAATAGTGGATGTTGGCGATCAAACTCTCGAATCTATCCCTGTTCGCCGCAGTGTCTATAAGTTATTCACGCTTTGAAAATCGGCACAGTTCCTTATATTTTTTAACGAAAACAGTTTATCTTCCATGTTTGTCCTCGACCCCCCAGAAATTTATATTTTGACATGTGTAAAAAATTGGAATTTTGCGATAAATAATGGACTGTATATTGGGGTGCTCCTTTTTCGTGTTTACATGAAAAATTCTTACTTGAATAGCGTTAAATAATTAATATTGAATATTGAAATATTGAAACGTCAATAAACTTATTTTAAACTTCAATAATTGTGGCCTATTCACATTAAAATAGTAATTATTTTAAATAATAATTTTTTTGCAAGCAACTAAGCAAAAATGATTTTTGCTTAGTTGAGGAATGCAATTTTAGATTACCCATGTCTCTAATTACATCTTTATCAACATCTGTTTTGCCTTGCAATTCTTAGAAGTCACATATTAAAACAGAAATCTGAATTTGGTTTCGACAATTAGTTTCCGAATTAAAAGAATCTTTCGATGTCCCAACTCTCTGTTCCACTTCAAAATTTCTCCACTAAAAATCTCTGCTGTTATCCACGATAACAGTTACTCAGTTTTTTATAAAACGTTCATTTTGAATTTGATGGTCTTATCTGTAGTAAGTTTAAAAAAAAGTCACAGCTCGTCGGCATTATCGTCACTATAATTTTGTCTTATTGTAGGCCACGACTTCAACCAGTTGTCGGTGACTTCTTTGGAAACACTCTTCGCTTCACCGCAAATTTTTCCACACGTAATTTCGTGCCTGGCCTTAAAACGGCTCATCCACCCACTCGATGCTTGAAAATTTAGCATTTGGACCATTTGACCATTGCAGTATCTAGTTCTTTATTAGTTGCGGCACGTAGTTTTTTCGATTTAACAGAAAAAGATGAACTCGCTTCGAAAGTCTTACGTTTATTTTTGAGCATGGTAGACTCTCATGAAGCGCATCTGGCGCTGCATGAGAACCTTCACATTTTACTCTTCTTCAACTAGTCTTTGAGTAAAGTGTCTTTTATCTTTCCTATCAGCCTCTCTTGGCCAACTCTTGTTTTTCTGACCCCGATTGGCTATTAGGTTTCCGAGGGCGGACGGCTCACTATTTTCTTTCCTTACTCTAAACTATTTTCTACCACGCAGAAGGAAGTGGGGCCCCACTGCGTTACTTTGCCCCAAGAACTATCATGAAGATGACCTCTAAACATATCAGTATGCCGAGCGATCCAACTAGCAATTGGCGCCAATCAGCGTCCGGGGCTGATGGTGTGAAATGGGCTACCGGCCATGATGTTGTGAGAAACCAGGCACGCCATGGAAACTCGTGAGTCTGGAATAAACATAAAAATATGGAGCACCCTTAAAATCGGTACGTGGAATGTTCGAGGATTGCTGGAACCCGGAAAATTGGATGTAGTGGAAAACGAGATCCACAATTATGCCATTGTAGGTCTATCTGAAACCCACTGGAAGGATAAAGGACATTTTACCTCAAAAAATGGCAATGATATTTATTTCTCCGGCAATGATAACGAATCTCGGAATGGCGTCGCAGTGATAGTAAATAATGCCTTTAAAACCTCCGTAAAAGAATACATAACCGTCAGCGATCGGATAATTGTTGTCAGAATGAATGCCAGTCCATTTAATCTTAATGTGGTACAAACATATGCCCCAACAAGCGAAGCTCACGATGAAGAAATCGAAACATTTTATAGTACGTTGGAGCAGACGCTTAGGAAGCTTCCAAATAGAGAAATTACAGCAGTCGTAGGCGATTTCAACGCTAAAATTGGTGTAACTACAGAAGATCATTACTTGCGAGAGACCGTCGGATTATATGGACTTGGCCAAAGAAATGACAGAGGAGAACGCTTGCTACACTTTTGTATAGACAACAACCTGTTTGTTACTAATACAGGCTTTCAACATCACCATTTTTACGACTATACACTTGGATATCACCAGGAAATAGATACAGAAATCAGATAGATTTTATACTGGTAAAAACCCGTTGGAGGAGCGCTGTTAAGGATGTTAAGACCTATCCAGGAAAAGATAGTAATAGCGACCATCAATTTTTATCAGCTGAATTCCGCATGAAGTTAAGAAACAGTCCAAAAACAGGAAATACAACAACTAAATGGCATCGAAGATATAACGATCCGTACAAAAAAGCCGCAATGCAAAAGCTATGTGACCTCAAACAATCATTAAATCCAGACGAGTCCTCAAATAGCATATGGACAAAAACAAAATCTATATTGCATAATGCTGCGAAAAATATTAAGAGTGATAGAGAAGAAAGAAGGGAACAATGGATAACGGACTCCACGTGGACTAAAATACAGGAGAGGAAGTGCTTAAAAGCCACAGGACTGAACAGTGAAAGCGATAAAGAGGCCTATAAAGCGCTGAACGGTCAAATAAAATGTCTGCAAAAAGGACAAGAACACACACTTGAACAAAATCTGCATGGAAATAGAAGGGCATAAAACCAAAACTGAGACCAGAGACATGTTTAAAAAAATAAAGCAGATAACACGTTCTTTTACACCAAACTACCCTGCTATCAAAGATGATAACGGAACTCTACTCACTTCTAAAAAAGATATTTTACATAGATGGAAAGAATACTGTGGACGACTGATGATGGAGGAAAGCACAGACGCCCCATCACAACAAGAAGATGCCAGTTTTGCGACGGAACCTGACGTACTCAAAAGTGAAGTTGAAGCAGCAATTATGAGGCAAAAAAGTCAAAAAGCTGCCGGTCCAGATAACATGCCTATTGAAATGATTTGGGCCCTAGATGACGTTGGAGTGGATATAATACATCAAATTTGTCAAAGAGTGTGGGAGACAGGTAAATGGCCTGAGGACTGGACACAATCACTATATATTCCCATACATAAAAAGGGAGCGAAAGATTTATGTAGCAACTATCGCACAATTGCTCTAATTGCGCATTGCAGTAAGATACTCTTACACATAATTCTCGAGAGGATAAAGCCCTTTTTACTACCTAACATTGCGGAGGAACAAGCAGGTTTCGTCCCAGGACGTGGTACTAGAGAACAAATTTTAACGTACGGCAGATTGTAGAAAAATCCAGAGAATTCAACATCACAACATATTTGTGCTTCATAGATTATAGTAAAGCTTTCGATTTGGTCAACTGGAGTAAAATGTGGCAGGTTTTGTCTGAAATGGGAGTCCCTAATCATCTGATACTGCTAATTAAAAGCCTGTACAATAACAAATATGCCAGAGTTAGAATAAATGGGGAACTAACTGACAGTTTCAGGGTCACAAAGGGCGTGAGACAAGGCTGCATACTAAGCCCAATTTTATTTAACATCTATGGTGAATGGATAATGCGGAAAGCTACTGAGGACTGGAACGGTGGCATCACCATTAGCGGGAAGAAGATTTGCAACTTGAGATATGCAGATGATACTACTATCCTCGCTAGTTCCGAAACTGACTTGATTCACCTGCTACAACGGATAGAAGACGTAAGCTTAACGATGGGCCTTAAAATAAACAGGGATAAAACGAGAATCATGATAATTGACAGAGCTAACAACGATCAAAATCATCTGGTTAGATAAACAATATCGCTGTTGTAGATAAATTTGTGTATCTGGGCTCATTAATAACCAACAAAGGAGGCTGTACTGAAGAAATAAAGCGGCGGTCAGCAATCGCAAAAAGCGCTATGGCAAAATTAACAAAAATTTGGAAAAGCCATGAAATTACTACCGACACAAAAATGAGACTAGTAAGAAGCCTAGTTTTTCCAGTTTTTACTTACGCATCGGAATGCTAGACCCTTACTGAGAAAGACAAAAAGAACATAGATGTATTTGAGATGTACTGCTGGAGACGACTGCTGAGAATACCATGGGTGGCCCGAAGAACAAATGAATCCATACTGGTCCAGCTAAATATAAAGAAAAGACTAAGAACACAACTAACAGAACAGATAATAAGCTATTTTGGACATGTGCTTCGAAGAAATGGTCTTGAAAAACTTACCATCCAGGGAAAAGTAGAAGGCAAAAGAAGTAGAGGTAGATCTCCTACACGATATACGGACCATATTGTTGCTACCATTGGCGCTCCATTGTCAGAATGTGCTAGATTGGCAGAAGATAGAAAAACGTGGAGGAACATTGGAAAAATTACCTAACAGCTTCATGATATCACGATACCTGCATCAGGTTAACGACTAAGAGGAAGATAGAGTGGAACTTGAAATTCTTCTTTCACGACAAACTTCTGCTTTCTTCATAACATTTTTCTCAACATTCTCAACATTTTTAAGGATGTTAATTTTTCTTCTAAAGTAAATGCTTTTCTTTTAGGAGTCATAGTATGTAATCTATGTATCTACAACACAACTTTCAAGACGCGAAAGCACAATCAGGAAACAAAAGATAAATATCTACGACAAAAACAACTGTGAAATGAAATTCTGGTGAAATTTGTTTCATTTAGCATGTTTTTAAGCCTCTTTACGTAGCTTATTAGGTCCGAATGGTCAAACCCCTAACCTGACACTTGTGAATCATAAATTGTAAATTTCCGACAACACAATATCGGTCGGTAGATTAAACAGAAGAACTTTATTGCGGGCGGCATTTAAAAAGGGTATTTATTTATAAACACGTTTTTCGATCTTCACCGTACACGCGCATGAAGCCACACATTCTTCTCGCACAAGCACAGAGGCTGGCTAATCGAAAACTGTACACTATATCGTTTTTTTATTGTGGTTAATAATTTTCTCCCTTTTGCCATTGAGAAAATGGATTGCTTTAATTTATTGTCTCATCATTATATAAGCGCATAGTAGAATCAAATTATGTAAATATTTATAAATTTTAATCTCAGTTTGTATTTTAGGTGGAGCTTTATCTACTTTCTTACATTGGGCGATACTTAAAGGTGAAGAACCTGCAGTCGCATGTTTCGCAGCTGCAACTTTAACTAGGAAATGTAATGAAAGAGCTTTCGCAAAATATGGTAGAAGTATGACCACAACTAACATGATTGGAGAGATTCATAGTGTATTCGATGAATATTTTGAATTAAAGTAAATACAAAATTTAATATCGAGTTGTTAGTGGTAGATTATCTCCCGCCTAAAAATACCTAAGTCCTTCCCACATTCTGATCAACTATTTTACCCACTTCTCGAACATAGTGTATTAATTGCTGTGTTCTTAACATTCCGTAACATACTGCTGGACCGAAATGGAAAAATAATTCAAGGTAGATTAAAAAGATTATCAGAATATTATATATATATAAGGTAAGGTGGGGTAAGTGCGGACTAAAAAATCAATTGATAAATTTTAAAGTTTTGTAAAAATTTTAATTTTTAATTATAACTTTTAGTGTTTTATTGCTGATTTAATTATCGCATACACAATCTACACAGAGAACCAATATACCGTTAGTTATATTAGTTTCTGTTATAATGCTCATTTTGTTCTGCAATGATTGTACGCTCACTTGCCCCTGATTACGGGGCTAGTGCATATCAGGACTTTCATTTCTCGAATAATTGATACATTAAATAAGGAGGCTAGTGCAATACACCTGAATATTTGTACTTTTCAATGAGCTTTACAGAAATCGGTTACGTATTATAGTTTAAAAGTTACGAACTTTTATTCACCCACATATACAAAACATTAAATAAAAGGGTTTTATGGTGTTAGTATAAGAATTGGTGGAGAAATCATAAACACCATGAGATTTGCAGATGACACGGTAATTATGGCTGAGAGTATAGAAGATCTACAAACTTTACTAGATGCAATAAATAGTGAATGCATTCAAATGGGACTTGACATCAACACAGATAAGACCAAATTTATGATAGTATCAAGGAGTCCAATAAATAATGAATAACTAACTCTTGGTGGACAGCAAATAGAGAGACTGACAAAATATAAATATCTGGGAGCTTACATCAACACAGAATTAGATCCAGACCAAGAGATCCGGGTACGAATAGAAATGGCAAGGGCAGCGTTCTTAAAATTCAAACAATTGTTCTGTGACAAAAATCTGAATATTGCGCTGAGACTGAGGTTTTTTGAATGTTACGTCTGGTCGCAATTATTGTACGGGGTAGAAACATGGACTCTAAAAGCGCAAATAGTTAAAAATATTGAAGCCTTTGAACTTTGGATATACCGGAGAATGTTGAGAATCCCATGGACTGCCATGGTCACCAATGAGGAAGTGCTGAGAAGAATGGGTCGAGTCAAAAAATTGTTGAGAACGATAAAAGTACGCAAGACTGCATACCTTGGACACAAACTAAGAAATAATAAATATAGTCTTCTGCAGGTCATCATGCAGGGTAGAGTCGATGGCAAAAAGGGAATAGGTAGAAAGAGGAAGTCATGGCTGCGAAATATTCGAGACTGGACAAACATGACTGTAGACGAATTATTCCACGTTGCAAAAGACAGAGAAGGTTTTAAAAATGTGGTCGCCAACCTCCGTTAATGGGGACGGCATAGGAAGAAGAAGAATGGTGTTAGTAAAAACAAACTTTAATTATAAATAAATAAATGTAAAATTAATTTATTCATTACAAAACATAAGTTAGCTCTAGAAATTTAAAAATACCCATGGTGTAAACATTTTAGATGGCTTCTTGGACATCAACGTTATTGTTATATACATTTATCAGGAATACCCTGAGATTCAATAACTCAAGGATTGTTTAATTTTTTTGACAATATCTGTTAAGCTAACTAAACAAATGTCTTTACGGTTCAGTTTAAATTCTGTGTGATTATTTTTATATATTTGACGCTTGCAAGTTATTAAAACGAGAGAATGAATGAGATGGAGCCGCCAAAACATATTTATAACCAAAGAATAGATGGAGTGAGAAGGAGAGGCAAACCCAGAGCACAATTTAAGGATCAGGTGGAGGAAGACTTGAGAATGTTGGGAGTACGAAACTGGAAAGCGAAGGCGAGGAATAGGAGAGAATGGAGACTTATCCTTGAGCAGGCCAAGACCCACTATGGGTTGTGGAGCACATGATGACGATGAAGTTACTATAACCTCTTCATAATTAACTTCATTAATGAGACAAACATATTTATATAGTTTCTTTTTTCCATAGAAGTTCATCATCACAGTCATTAACATCTTAGTAGATGTGTTGTGGTTCATAATTGGGCTTCAGCAGCTCGGACATTTTGATTGATAATATTTCTCCACTGGTCGCGGTCATCACTTATATGTATTGCCTCAGTATACTGTTTATTGAGAAGCTTTTTAGTAATGTCCGCCCATCGCTGTGGAGATCTTCCGCGTTGGCGTTGAGTCTGAGGCCTTCCTTGGACCACCAACCGCTCCATTTTGTGATCACTTCGATGGATATGGCCAAAGAACTTTGAAATTCTAAAGTAAACGGTACTGGAGAGACGCTGATCCGGTTTAATTTCATCCAGAACCGAGATATTTGTACGGCGAGCCGTCCATGGAATTCGAAGCAGGCGTCTCCATGTCCACATTTTAAAGGCGTCTATACGTCGTCGATCTGATTCTTTGACTGTCCATGTCGCGCATGCATAGTAAAATATGGAAAAGACCAGAGTTGAAACGAGTCTCTTTTTGTTTGTCATAGTAATGTGACGATCACGCCAGACCCCGTTTAGTTCACTCATTGCTGCTCTTGCGAGTTGAATGCGTCTTCTAATTTCGGATTCACAACTGCCTGTGTTGTTAACTAGAGCTCCAAGATATATCATAGATGAGACTACCTCGCATCCCGCAATAGTTTGGGTTTCAGGAAACTGTTGTTGGCGATCAATAACCATGATTTTGGTTTTGTTGTAGTTAACCATGAGCCCAAATTTAGCACTTTCTACCTCGAGTTTTTTTAATAATTTAATAATTTCTTCTGGAGTAAAGGCTAGAAGTGTAGTGTCGTCTGCGAAACGCAAGTTAGATATCTTAACACCACCTAGGTTTACTCCTCCCTCCCAACCATCCAAAACTCTGCGCATTATGAACTCCGAATAGATGTTAAATAATAAGGGAGATAAAACGCATCCTTGGCGTACTCCCTTCTCCAAAGTGCATTTGTCAGACAGATAATCGTCCATTCGAATATATGCCAGGTTATCTTGATACAGTTTGCTAATAAGGTGAGTCAAGTGTTTAGGTACACCCATTGTCGTCAATATGTTCCATAGTCTACACAAAATCGCCTACATTTAGTGTAACACAATTATTGTTATTTTTTGTGTTGCTCTCCTCAGTTTTTTCTCCCGAAACTACTTCATTACGGTGAACGTCTTTCAAATCATCATCACGCATGTTATTATCTTCAGTTTTCTTTTTCGAAACCGCTTCGTTATGATCAACGTCTTCCAAATCATTTTCACTCATGTCATCAAATTCTGTAATTCTGTCTTCACTACTATCACTTTCTCAAGATTGATCTCTTTCTTCCGAACTAATGTCCTTACGTTTATTTACTTTAATTTGCTTGGTTTGCTTTCTTCTTGGTTTTGCGTTAAGCGTATTCGCCGGCTTATATATTTTAGTTTTCACAGAGTTTGTGTTATTAGTGTTATCTATCAGTCGTTGCAGTACGTCTTCTTGTGTGATTATTTCAGCTCCAGCGGAGATTCTTTTCCTGGAATTTTTTGTTTGAGTCGTATCACGTTTCACAGCTTTTAGTAGAAGTTCTTCAAAAGTACGATGTTTTGACTGTGATGAGCTTGGTAAGGAAAGAATCGATCAAAATAGTTTCTAGAGATTCGGTACCTTGGTTGATACAGTTTTCTTTAGTTCTTCTCACAGTGGTTCTTCTCACAGTGGTATAACATTATGATTTAAAGGAAAAATTTCAGCCTTAGTAAAACCACTTATCAATATACCTGGGTCAGTTTCTCTCCAGATCTATGCAATTAATTCTGAAAAAATACATTTTGGGAGTTTCATCCCAACATTTTTCATCTGCCACTGGACTCATTTAGCATCTCAGCGACTTTTATGAGAATTAAATAGTGATAGATCTAGTGGTTGCAATAACTGGCTGGTGTGTGGTGGTAGCTTAAGAATGGTAATTTCATTTGCAATTGCTAGTCTTATCAAATCCACACCAATATGCGTTGTATGTCCGTCGTATATAACAAGAACAGGACGGTCTTTACATAAATTCTTGATGAAGCTTTTTTCGAAGAAATTTTTAAAAACATTAGTTTCCATCCAGCCATTAACTGTTACGGCATATCTAGTATTTGGGTACTCAGTCTCAGGTTTTGCTATCCATTGGTCCCAAACATGTTTGCCTTTAAAAATCATGAGTGGTGGTACTTTTTCTCTAGTGGCACTGCACCCCATAAGAACAGTTGTGTTTTGTTTTTTTGGAACGCTAGTTGTTCTAGTTACTGTGCTGTGTTACTTGTGCAGGTTTTTCTTTCAAACCCAAATTATTTAAAATTTTTTTATTTAAAATCCTTTATAAAAGATATATAATTGCATTATATACCTTCTATAAAGGATTTTAAATAAAAATTGTTTGTGATACATGGTATACAGCCAGCTACAGGAACTTAGTGTCCTAGTGAAACTTATTTAAAGTTTCGTCTAAAAGTTCGAAGTAACTGTATACAATAAACGGATAAATATTCTTCTTGCGAGCAAACTCTACACTTTGAGACTTTTTAATTGAGAAATTGTGTCTCTTTTTAAACCTCCGTCAATGTGTTCTTTGGGATGCCATACATTTTACTGGCGCGATAAATAGTAATGTGGCCACTTTTACTTCGGATACTAGCTACGGCTAGGTCTTCTTTGCTTTATGTGGAGCCTCTATTACTCTTCCGAATATAATTACACACCATCCTGAATTTTAGAATTCTGCAACAAGAGAAATAAGATTAAATTAAAATATTGAAAACACATTGGGAGAGTGTGTAGGACGCTAGTGCAACGCATTTGCCCCAGTAAAAAATGCATGTTGTTTTGGACTGGGGCAAGAGCGCCCTACATTTTTTTTTAAATTAAAGTAACCTATAAAAAGTTAAGATATAGATGTTACCACAAAATAATATAAGAGTTCTAGTTAC